GTATTAATAAAGCTTTCCTCTTATCAGATCTGAACTATTAGTTGGATATATAAGCTAGCGGAGCTTCTGACTAGTCACTATCACCGTGTGTTGCTTGGTSTTGTAACCCTATAGTAACCCATTTTAAATCCCCAGTAACCATCCGCAACAGACCATCCTGTTGCGGTCCAGCTGCGATTTACAGATGGAACCTCGGTTCACGAGATTTTTGCGTTTGTTTTGTTTTTTATCCGTACTTATTTAAATGGTTTCTAAGTATTTTTTTTGCACAACATTTAATTTATAAGCAATCGTAAAGAGTTCTTATTAATATCATTGGCCTCAACAATCGCGCAGTTAGTTCTGCTTTCTCCAGACTGAGATGAAGCAAATCGGTGTGGTAGTGAACGAGGGCAAAACGAAATATCTCCTGTCATCAAACAAACAGTCATCTCACTCGAGACTTGGTTTCCACGTCACAGCCGTAASTTCTAGGCATAGATAATTTCRTCTATGTTGGAKTCAGCATTAACACCAACTAAAACTTCAACCTCGAAATTGAACACAGAATAACTCTTGCCAGCAGGTGCTACTTCGGACTGAGTAGGTAATAGAGAAGTAAAGTCCTTACTCGATCAGACCAAATTCTACAAGTCCATCCTGCTATATGACTCAGAAATATGACCGATGGCAACAACTGATGAGTCGACATTTCCAGGAGTTTCTCCGGAAGATTTATGGTTGTTTGCGCATTACCAACGGCGAAACACGCAGTCGATAGAACGATGACCTGTACGAGACCTATACAACGACATTGATATCGTTCAGGAAATTAACAGACATCGGCTGAGCTAGATATGTCAATGGATCTATATGTCCTTATCGTTGAAAACGCCTGGGGAAGCAGAGGAAAACGAAAACCTCAACTGCGTTGAGAAGACCAGGTGGAGAATAGCGAAAGGAAAGAACGACTGGCGCACTATTATAATCTCGGCCATAACCGCGTAAGTAGTATCTACGACAACAAATAAGAAAAATAATGGTAACAGTTCCTACAAGACTGGAAAGAGAAAGTGATTAGGAAACTAATCCATGATCAGAATATTCCCTCAACAGCGAACTTTAAGGTAACGGAGCTGAAGACTTGATCACTTCATAAATCCATAGTATTTAAATTAGTAGTATACATGTTCCGCATATCCTTCTACGAAAGTAAACCTTCTAAGGCATTTATCTCATGAATAGGTTCGCCAAGACACAAGACAAGGGAGCGAGTCGGTTCACCAGTATCTTTTTGTGTTCTATTACTAGATATCTGAGCTTCGCTGAAGCTTGGCATGCGTGGGCTGTCGCAAAATCCTTTTGGCCCAAGATCTATCGCAAGAAATCCAGTGATCTGTGCCTCAGTAAAGCTAGCTTCTCCTTAGTTTTGGCGTTGCCATATTGAYGTCCATGCTGTAAGGCTGGGAATCTTACCAGATGCAAACTACAGAAGCTGTATGGAAAAAGGCGATATGGAAGCAACTCAAAACTTCCGTCTGGACTGTCCCGCGTTTGGGACGTCAAGGCTTAATCACTTCAGACATCCCAACAAACTAGCGGAAATGAAATTTAAAAGCTTGTACAAATTTTTACTTTCTACTAATCGTTCGAACACAGGAGTTCTTCTTTCCTATGGCTTCACAACGGACTGCATATAGGAGCCCACATACGCTCTCTCTCAGTTTGCTGCGAAGTTTGTAACATTCAGARAGAAACGTTGAAGATCCATAAAATATACATATGTGTATATACAAAGCGGGATGACGAGCTGCATTCATTTAGCCATGTCGAACTCTCTATTTGYCCATTTGTCTACATATACGTGAACTAATCCTACAGGTTTTGAGATATCGATTAAAAACTATATACTCTATGCTGTGGTCGAAATCAAGTGCTTGTATGGAAAAATTTTTTATCTGATAAGATATCTTCCCTTACTTCCATATGAATAATTTTCTAAGCCAATGTTATAATCTCCGAATATATTTCTCAGATCGAACAAATAAAGCATATAGCTGCCGCTTAATATTATAGATCAAACCGATCAAAAAAGATTTTCATAAGAATAATTCTTCCTTCTTAAGCCACCTTAATTCGAGTGGAAGATTGTTTAGAACAAACAAGGTGGTTTAGGAAAACTCGTCAAACCTTTTCAATTGAATGCAAACCGTTGGCTATCATATTTACTACTACAAATGGACTTGTAAAGGGTATTATATAAAAGTTATATCCGTGAAATGTGTTTATCTTTAATGGGAATACCGTTTTCAAGTAAACACAAACTTGTTTTGAACTTTTGTTGACATTACGCTTTTTTCCAAGCAAATTTCAAAGTCACTGCATAAAATAAAATCAACTGAAAAGCAAGAAAAAATCAATTCAATAGCATAAAGTTGATAAAAATTCAAATTTCTTTGAAACTCACGCAGCTAAAGCTTTGAGCGAGTAAAGAAACTA